TAATAATTGTCTCCATTCTCATTGATAACTCCTCATATTTGCCATATTTTAGGTTTCTCTTTTCTAAATTTTTCTCCATGAATATTTGTAAACTCATACATTTGTAAAGAAACACATTTGCTAAGACAGGTTTATGTTAGAAATGGAAACCTAAAATAGAGTTCACAATTAACTTTCCCCATGGTTAGTCCTGCCTACAAATAGTGTAAGGAGGCTTGAACTCCAAGGAAAAAGGGTATGTTTTGTCCCCAGGTCTTTTCTGCACTGTGAAACAGGTAGACACCTGCTTATGCTTTATCCTCTTCTGTCTTCACTAATTACCTCATTGCTTTTCCTTTTCATCAATCCCTGTCTTCACAACAGGATAAAATATACCTGGTTGTAGGATACAGATCTCTTTTTCAAAGACAATTTGATAATATCTTCATTTTCCCCTCTCTTCTTTCCATTCTTTCCCTACTTAAATGAGCCTTTTGACTACATTTCAAGCTACAAAAACAACAACAACAACAACAAAACTAGGTTTCATATTAGAGAGAGAAAAGCTCAATATCAATATTCTTCCTAAATCAACACTACAGGTTATTTGGCTTTGTTTTTGTTTTGTTTCATTTTGTTCTATTTTGGTGCTGTCCTGGGGCTTGAACTCAGTGCCTGGGCGCTACTCCTGAGCTATTTTGCTGAAAGATAGCATTCTACCACCTTGAACCACAGCTCTACTTCCAGCTTTTTGGTAGCTAATTGTAGGTGAGAGTCTCATGGATTTTCCTGCCCATCTGTCTTCAAACCTTGAGCCTCAGATCTTAGCCTCCTGAGTAGTTAGGATTACAGGCATGAGACACAGGCACCTGGAAAAAACTAGTATTAATTTTTATTCATTTATCTTATTTCCTTCATGAGAAGGAGAATATAAGTAGAAGAGTTTCTAAGACTTGTTTCCTTCTTTTTCTTTTTTCAATTGAAAAACAGAACCAAACAAACAAGCGTAATATTGTAGTCTGAAACGCATTCAAAGGCTTACTTTAAAATTAGGATATCATATTGTCTTTGGAACAGAGACATGTATCCTATAAGCAAATATATTCTGTCATATTTTTAAACAAGGATTGATGAAAAGATGGGAAAAGTGTCTTGGAAACATTTGGACTTAGACTAAAAGGTCTGAGTTAATCCTGGCTGGGTCATGTTTGTGAGTCAAAGTAGGAAACTACTGGAACTCTAGAGTATGTGGTGAAGACTTGAGAATTGCAACAACTGGCTTACCATGAAATCCCAAGTATTTATATATGTACATTTGCCTAAGTCACCAATTTGGTATTAGATGAAGTAACTACTTAGGGCAATGGCTGGCATGAGGTAAATACTCAGTGTTATTTTATTAACTATTTTAATATGATTCTTGTACACTTTCCTCAAACCATCCCTTAAGTTTCTTCTTCTGATTTTTCTCTTCTCTGACTATTCTGTAGCTCCTTTCACTATGAAGTTTTTATAGAAAAGGAATAAGATTTTATATCTAATGAGATCTTTACTGATTTAGGTGTCAGATAATGCAGTTTTCACTCCATGTAATATATTGGCTTATGATGTCTAGAGACAGTAACTGGAAGGAGTATTTATTGAGGAAGTTAGGTTCTAAAAAGGTTCCAATATTCTCTCTCTCTCTCTCTCTCTCTCTCTCACACACACACACACACACACACACACACACACACACACACACACTGCTACTAAGATTAAGAAAATACCTCTAATTTCCAGATAATTAAAGCAATCACTAAATATAGTTCGCAAGAGTCAACTACCTTAGTTATATGGCAATCATATATTAAATTAGTGCACTCTGGCAAAAATTAATTTATTTTTATGATTAAAATACTTTTAACTCCACATAAAGATTTTCTAAAATCTTGAGGTGAAGGTAGCTTGATTTTTCCTTTTCTATATTGTCTGACATTATCAAATCTAAATCCAAGTAGCAATTCACAAGCCAGACCAACGGAACTATACACAAATATTTTCATGGACATGTTGAGATGTTGCTTGGGCATATTCAACCCTCAATTTTCTCATTCTATTAATGCCTATCTTTACACCTTGTGGAGAGTCAGGAAACATACATTTTAGATCTTGTACTGTGATGGCAAACATGAGCTTGAAGTTTGCCTATTCTGTTGTAGGACTTTAGCTTTATAAGGTCCTTACTGAAAATAATGTTTCATATATAGTATATGATGATGGACCAATATTACCACAAAAATACTTTTCTGACTTAAAAAATATCCCAAGGCTGTTAATTTCCAAATCTATTTTCAAGTTTAGGAAAGGTTCCTACCCATGACCACATGTGTGTTTGTGTTTGTGTCTATGTGTGTGATGTGATTAGTCCCTATGATCTCCACTTTTTAAGACATAAATTTCCATATAAATCACAGGACAGCACTATTTCACTAACAGCAGACATTATGACATGTTTACATGACAGCAAGCTGAGATCCCCAAGCACTCACTAACCCATCACTGCACAAAAGGCCAAGACATTAACAGCAGGGCTGATTGATAAAATTAATGCAGAAGTACAGGATTATAGAAGACTGTTGTATAACAGCATCACCACATTCTGCAATATTCTGTGACTCCATGCAATAAAGGAATAAATATTTTGCAAGGCAGTGAGATAAAAATCAGTGGAAAAAGATGTGTTGGAGAGGAGTAGTTAGCTAGTGCTCCTAATTTTATCTGTCCACATGAGCCCCTATAATTTTACAATGTGGCCCTAGTCATTTAGTAGGCATGGAATTCTGTCCTAAAACCCCCTCCACTCTCACTTAAGCTCCATTGCTCTCCACCATGCTTCTAACAGCCAATGACAAGGTGTAATGGTCACTACTTTGTACTGTGGGTTTTTTTTTCCTATCTGAACTCTTGTCAAGCAGCAGTCCGGAATTGTCACTACCTGCTGGTGGCCTCTATCCACCTGCTGTCTGCAGCAAACACACCCAAAGGAACAGCAGCAAATCTGAAAACCCTGGCCAATGGAAGAGAATCCAGGACAGGTGGCAGAGAGGCTGTGCAATCAGTGAGGACAGACGAACTGACAACCAGACAGACAGACAGCAGCACCATCAGAGACAATCCATTACTTCCAGTCTCAGAAGAGGGGAAGCCTGCAGCACCAGGGATGTCATTCTTCCACTAGGGACAGGCAGCAGATTAACTAGAGTTTTGCCTCCCACAAGCCGGCAGGCTTAAAGTATTTTTAATTTTTATTTTTTATTTTTTTGGTGAGGGTGGGTGGGGGCAGCGAGAGGGAGCAGGGTATTCAGAAACCTGCTGCTGTTTGATAAAACCAGGCCAGCTCTGGCAACAGATTTTTTTCTTCTTCTTCTAAATCTATAATGCAAGGGAAGAGATGACTGGATTTCTACTATTTCCCTGTGGCTTGACACCCACCTCATCCCCTCCCTCATGCCCCTCACACACACTTTAGGTGGCAATTGCACTTGCACTTGTTGGGGACCCATCAGTCTGTGAACAGCCTCCCTCTATTCCTCTCCTGGAGGCACTGCTGCAGGGAGGGGGATCTGAACCTTCCCTGGCAGCATCTTCTCTCCAGTAGGCAATTGTAAGGGGGCTGGAGAGAGGCTCTGCTGAGGGTGCTCTGTGCCCTCCGGTCACCCCTGCTCCTTCCCCCATGGTTCTTCCCAACCAGCTAACTCCAAATGCAACAGGTTCCCTTTGGCTCTCCATACCAATGGCCTGCTCCAGATTCACCTTCCAGCTAAGGAGTCTATTCCAGTCAGGTGATCTAAATTCCCCCAACCCAGAGTGGGGAACTTTCCTGATACAGTGAAGGCTTGCCGTGGAAGGGCAGGCTCGCAGTCTCCATCAGCTGCACTTCACAGGTGATGCTAAGGAACCAGGAAAGCCAGCCTGGATTGCCAGTACCTTGGAAGCAGTTTTGTCCGAGGCAGGCCAAAGCACAGTGTTACACACTCCTGCACCACTAGCAAGCAGCCCTTTCCCCTCTTCATCCTCAGGAAAATGGGGCACTAGCAGAGATGCCCTAGAGGGCAGATGGGTTCTAAAGAGGAGATGATGTGTGCAAATATTCAGTCCCTTCTGGGGCTGCTTCCTTTAGCAATTGAACAGGCCTCAGAGGTTTCTTGGAAACCAGTAAAGAAAAGGCTCTATTCTCTTTTTCGTTTTTGAAATTCAGGACAGACTCTCCCTCAGCATCTCCCATGATTAAAAACTTTGTATTGCCAATGGCATCGTGTATAGGTAAGATCTGTCTCCATACAGGTATTCTGTGCAGAAGACTAGGAATAAAAATGAAACTGGCAGAGGCAGGTTACCAAAGATGGCAACTGCCCTCCCTCCCCCCCCCAAAAAAAAGACCCAGCCTTGATCTGTGAGATGAATGAGTACCCAAATGAACACTAAAAATAAGCTTTTTGATTATATAAACACCAGCACCCTTCACTGGGCTAACTCAGACCTTCCAAACAACTCTAAAAGAGGAGCTGTCTTCCGCACCCCCAGCACCTCTTCATCCCACCTCCCCTCCCTCTGCTCACCCCTTGGCCCCAATCCTGCCCCCAACCCAGACCCTTCCACTCCGGGGGCTCAGTGTCTCTCAGCTACCACACACCCCACCAAGACCAGGGTAGCCCCTGCCCACCCAATCCTCCGGAGCACCCCAATCTCAAGCTCTCCTCTCCCCGCTCTTAGGATCTTGATTTCACTGGCATCCTGTCCCTTCCTCTGGACCCCTTAACCTTTTCTCGCCTCAAGCCCAAGGCCTCTGCCCCCCACCCTCGGGCGGGCATCTCCACCCTCCCCCCCCACTCTGCCGCCCCTCCCCCACACTTGGCCAGGAGGACAGGGTGAGTGAGTGGTGAATGGACCTGAGGAGGCATGGGGGGAAGGATGGAGGGAGGGAAGGTATTAAGGATGGATGGATGGATGGATGGCCCGGCTGGCTGGGGCTGGCTTACTTAAGCATGGCTTCTTCTTTTTCCTCCTCTTCCTTCTGCCGGTCCATCACTGCCATGATGATGTTTCTCTCCTCCTCGGTCAGGTGGCTCAGGTCCGGCAGCTCTTGCATGGGGGGAGGCACCGTGGGTGGGCGAGGACCTCGGGGCCCCACGGCCGAGGACATTTTCGTGGCCTGCCCGCCCCCTCCGCTCGCGCTCTCCGCCGGCTCTCCCGCTCGGTCTGGCTCTCTCCGGGTCTCACCTTTCGGCCGCACGCCCGGCAGCGCGCCCTGCTCTCGGGGTCACAGCGGAGCCCTCCCGGCCGGCGCCGCGGAGCCGGGGAGAGCCGGAGCCCCGTCCGTCATGGTGGTGCGCCCGCACCGCGCGCCGAGCTGCCTTTGTTTTGGTCGCCCTGGCGAGGCTGGAGCCGCCCGGCCGTCTCCCGCAGCCAGGCTCGGCCGGCGGGGGCGCGGCGGGGACCGGCGGGGGCGCGGCGGGCGCCGGCCAGCCGACAGGGGCGAGGGCTCCGCGGGCTCCGCGGGGCTCCCAGGCGGGCGGGCAGGCGTCTCCGGCTGGGGCGCGCCGGGCGCGGGGCGCTGGGCGCGGGGCGGGGCGCGGCGCCCGGGGAGGGGGCTGGCGGGCGGGCCGGGCCGCCTCCGGCTCGGGGCTGCCGGCCGAGGAGAGGCAGAGTTTGGGCGTCAGTTAGGCGGAGTCTCCCCGAGGCTTCGCTCCCCGGCGCTGCCGCCGCCGCCGCTCGCAGACATCGCCGCCAGCCGCCGAGCCCCGAGCGGAGCCGCTCCGCCCACGGGCACCACCCGCCCACTCCCCGGGTCCGAGCCACGCGTGCCCGGCGCCACCCCGCCCGCGCTCGCCAACGTGCGCGCCGTGGCGCGCCCTCCCCAGGTACCCCCCACCCGTGAGTCATCCTTCCCGGGTCCCCGCCCGTGTCACCCTCCCCGGCCCTATTTTTCCAAGGGTTGTATTCACCACCACCACCATCACCATCCTCCTCATCCTCACCACCATCTTCCTCCCAGAGCACGTTGATAGTATCTGAAGACCCACGGTATTTGGAAGGGCTGGATGGATCGCCTCTGGACCATCCCCCACCCTTCTTGCTACCATGTCTTTCTCATGTCAGTGGAGTGTTCACAGTCAAAAACAATGTGGAGTTCTGGATAATTCTCACACACGCGCGCACACACGCTCTTCACTGCGGTGTCTTTTCTTGACACACTCTGTAGGTCTGATCCCCTCACCATGCCTTTCCACACAGGAACTCTGAGTTGCCATTGGAGACTCGGGTCAGCCCCTCGCGCCAGCTTGCTGCACTCTGGCGCTGGTGAATGGGGTATCTACTCCAGCTCCTCCAGTCATCGCGTCCTCACTGCCTCTCAGCTTCCATAGGCACTTCTTCCAAACCCCAATCCCAGACTAGAAAAACACCCAACCACATCCCATTGAATTTAAGAAGCTTCTGCTTAATGCCAACTTCAATGACAGGTATGAAGGACGAGCATCTCTTGCTGATAAAGGCAAAAATTAATAGACAATCCTTTCCAAATAAGTAATATTATCAGCTTTGAAACCTGGAGACTGAATTTTGTTAATGCAATTACGAAACAATCAATATAGAAAAAGGCTCAAATGGAGCAAATTCCTAGTGAGGACCTCTTGGAAATGGTGATGACAGCTGATAGGTTTCTCTCCTGGGAAATTCTTTTTCTAGTTCCAGGAGGGAATTAGTATTCTTTCTTATTTGCCCCCCCCCCCCCGCCCACCTCCCACCCCCGCTCCTTACCCAATTGTGTCAATGGCAAAAAATGATGACAGTGAGGTTTATGAATCCTAAAATCTTATTTATAAGGACCTAGAATTGAGTTGGTTTTCCTTTCAATGCAGCTGTTACTTCTGGATGGAGGCATTCTTTCAGTGAGGAGAGGCTCACTAAGGCCTATTTCCCTTCCTGTGATTAAATCTCTCTACCAATTGGAGATCTGTCACCTATGTACCAGTTAACCCTTTCAGCACCTTCCTTTTTCTCCATAGTCACCCTGCCCATGTTACTAACCCTGCTATTGGGCCATTCTTGTTTGACTTTTGACTTTCAATTTTTTTCACTAACCCTACCAAATATCAAGATTATGTGGGTTAAGAGCAATGCTTGGTGTTTAGTAAGTGCTCAATAATGCTTTATTTCTATTATTATTAATTTTCTTGTGGGAGTCCTGGGGTATGAACTCAGGGCCTGAATTTTTGTGCTCAAGGCTAGCGCTCTACCACTTGAGCCACAGCTCCACTTCCATCTTTTTTGATAGTTAATTGGAGATAGGAGTCTCACAGGCTTTCCTGCCCAGGCTGACTTCAAACCCCAGCCCTCAGATCTCAGCTTCCTGAGTAGCTAGGATTATACCAGAACTTGGCTCAATAATGCTTTATAATCATAATTTTTACTTATACTTTGACAATCATGACACTATGAGAATCTCATAGAAATAAACATATAGTTAATAAAAATTTCCAGTATATTGTTATTATTATTGCATTATTATTATTTATGTGCAGGTACTGGGACTTTAACTCAGGGCCTTGAGCTCTTGCTTGGATTTTTCACTCAAGGCTGGCGCTCTACCACTTGAGCCACACCTCCCTTCTGGCTTTTTTTCAGGCTAATAGGAGTTAAGAGTCTGATGAACTTTTCTGCTTGAGCTGGGTTGGCTTCAAATCACGATTCTCAGATATGAAGATCACAAGTGTGAACCACCACCATACAACTTTCAACTGTTTTTCAAAAGGGTCCTGTCTTAGCCATATTTCCTTTTCCCCTAAGCAATTGATAAAAGCAACTTTAATTAGCATCCTTTCTTTAAGTTTTAAAAACATTGTACTTAGTCCATTGTACTTGATCCAACCGAGGAAGGGAAAACCCTGATTGAAATTCTGGCTTCACACATGATCATGTGGGCATGGTCAACTCATTTAACCTTTCTAGCTCTGTCTCTCATCTGTAAAATGAGAAGGATATTTATCTCAAAACAGAGATGTGAAATAAGTTATTTTAAGTTGCTATCTATGTACACAGCACTTTGAAATTCTTTTTTTAATTTTAGATCTCTCCAAGAGATGTGTTAGGCCATCTCTCAATTATTAATGCACAGAAGGAGTTGAACTAATAGAAGACATACTGAGCTTGTCAGTATGGAAATGTACACATGCAACAAAGGCCTTGTCCTAAAGAGGTTCATGATCAAGTTGGTTCTCATGAAATTCTTTTCAAATACAAATACAGAAATTATAAAGCCTCAGTAGATATTAGAACTAGCTGAGCACAGCACTTGAAGGCAAGGACCTAATGAACAATTAACTGTGGTGTTTTAATTTGCTTTGGCTGCCATAATAAAATACCACAGATGGGTGGCTTATATAATAGAAATTTGTTTGCTCAAAATTCTGGCAGCTAGCAATTCAAGATCAAGGTGTCAACAGGTTTGGTTATTTTTCTTAAGCTTGTATTTGGCTGTCTTAGTGTGTCTTCACATGGTCCTTCTGTGTATGTGTATTTCTGGTATCTTTCCTTCTACTCCTAAGGATTTACATCCCTATTGTATTTGGACTGCACCTTCATAACTTTCTTATCTCTTTCATTTGAACCCTAGCTCCAATTACAGTTGTAGTTCAAGGTACTGGTGGGTGGGATTTCATCACCTAAATCTAGAAGAAAACATAATTCAGTTGATAAAGTTGCTTCTTAGAATTTGGGGGGAAACAGTTGTTAATATCTATTCTCTGGATGGCAATGACAAGAAATCTGTTTCTCAGTCATCTTTAAGTTGATAGCTACTTTCCTGGGCTACAAATATGAGTGTGAAATTACTGAGTGAGGTAATGAATAAATGAACAACTGAGTTGACTCATATATCAGATGGAGCTTTGATACAACCCATCAGTCTATCCTGTCTGTCATGCAAAGGACTATTTTCTATAAATTGGCTCTAGAAAGCAGAATCTTTTCTTTCATTAGGTAGGAAAACAAAAATGAAACATAAGGGCATGCCACTGATGGCTAGTTCGTGGAGATAACTCTACCAAAAGCATTCAGAGAACTCTGGAAAGTGCGTACAATACCTCTCTCCTAGAAATTCACAGGAACAAAGCACTAAGATGTAATACTAAGTACTGAGACGCAGTCATTTACTGCAATAAAGAAATCTGTTTGATGTAGCTTAGTTTGCCATTTCCCAAGTCCATTGGTCGATAGATCCATTCCCTCCTTTAGCTGAGGAACATGCGGACAAGCTTTGGGGAAAATACTGATTGATAGGGCCTTGGTTTCCAAAGATGCTAAATTGGAGTTTCTAAGACAGGCTCATGTGAAGAGATATTTGAGGGATGAAGGAGCCAGCAGAATTAGCAGAGAGTGTTAAAAGAGCAGGGAGGTGTAAAGACAAGGTCCTGAGTCAGGAAAGGGCAGTGTCCTGGAGGAACAGAAAGTAGGCCAGTGCGGCAGGATCATTGTGCACAAGGAGAAAATAGTGGGCATGAGCTCATAGAGAGACAGGAATGTTGTTTTATTCTTGTGCAAAGGCAATCCATTGCAGGACTTAACCAAGGGGTTAAACATTGCATTCTCTATTTTTAAAATGATTAACTATGGGTGCCAGGAAGACAGGTGGCAGCAAGGGACAGTGGACACAGGGAAGTTTGCTTAGGAATAATTAGAGGGACTTGGGAGTGGTGCATAGTTGTTTGAGTTGGAAAAGTGCATGCATTCAAGATATGCTCTCTGAGCTGAACCCAGAGATCTGAAGACTGACGACATGCAGGATTCATGGAGACAAATCAATTACAAGTCCTGTTTTGATCTCAGCAGTAAATCAATGAGTTGTACTGAGATGGGTAGAACTCAGTGAGAAATACTGAGATAGGGAGATCTCAATGAGTACAGCAGGATGGAAAATTTGTGTGTCTGTGGGGATACAAGTGCTGTGGTAAAAATATCAAAAATCATCATCATTATCAAATTTCTCAAAAATTGCAATATATTTGAATTTAAACAGCTAATCCCTTTCACCAAATATTTTTACTATAGCTTAAAGCAAAAGCAATTTTTTTAAAGTTGTTGTTGTTGTTTTAGATTACTTCTATCAAAGATTGGCCTGAATGCTAAAAGAGCCCTCATTACTCC